CAAGTCTCCTAAGTGCTGAGATTATCGGCATGTGCCGCCATGGCCTGGCACTCCGGTCAAGTCATCCAAACCAGTCAACCTATTCCACTTTCTCCGAATGATGTGAACATTATTCATGTCACCCCCACCTTTGAGGACACTGTTGCTTGCTGACAGTTGTGTTTCGTTTGGTTTTCTTTTAGGGGATTGAACCCATCTCATGGCACATACCCGCGGCCTTAACCGTATTGCTGACAGTTAAGTGATTTGCACAGGCCTCTCTTCCTGAACACTAGCACCTGATCCCACTTACCATGGGGACATAAGTGCTGCATGTCCAGGATGTATCTTATTTAGTTAAGCCTGCAAAAATGCTGAACTCTCTAGTGGTTGGCTGCCACACCTTTAATCCCAGCACTAGGGAGACAGAGGCAGATAGATGTCTGTGAGTTCAAGGCCAGCCTGGTCTACATGAGAGTGAATCAGTATAAAAGAGACACAGTGCTCACACCTTTGATCCCAGTACTTGGGATGACATGCCTTTAATCCCATCACTAGAGAGGAATATAAGGCAGGAGCTCGGTGCGGTGGTGGAGAGCATTGTAGTCTGCAGTCACTCTGAGGACAGGATTGCTCCCCTTTGATCTTAGCCTTGGTAGAGGTAAGAACTCTCTACTGGCTTGGCTGCTTTGCTTTTCTGATATCTGTCTCTGAGTTTTTATTATTATTGCTACACAAATGGCCATTCTCTTAGTTAGAGTTTTTGTTGTTTTTGTTGTTGTTGTTGGAGTTTGTTGCTATTGTTGTTTTTATTTTTATGTTTTTTTGGGGGGGGCGGTGAGACAAGGTTTCTCTGTATAACAGTCCTGGCTGTCCTGGAACTTGCTTTGTAGACCACGCTGGCCTCAAACTCACTGAGATCCACCTGCCTCTGCCTCCTAAGTGCTGGGGATTAAAGGTCTGTGCCATCACCTCCTGGCATGAGTTTTTATTACCATGAAGAGACACCAGAACCACAGCAACTCTCATAAATGAAAACATTTAATTGGGATGGCTCACTTACAGTTTCAAAGGTTCCTTCCATTATCATTATGGTGGAGAGCATGGTGGCATGCAGGCAGAGGTGGTGCTGGAATAGTAGCTGAAAGTCCCACATCTTGCAGGCAACAGGAAGTTGACTGAGACCCTGGGCAGTGTCTTGGGCATAGGAAACCTCAAAGCCCACCCCACAGTGACACACAAGACCATACCCACTCCAACAAAGCCCCACCTCTTTTTTGCAGATTTTTTATTTGAATTAGAAACAAGATTGCTTTACATGACAATCCCAGTTCTCTCTCCCTCTCACCCTCCCCTACCAACCCCCCCACCTAAAGCCCTACCTATCACATATCCTTTCTGCTCCCCCTAGATGGTGAGGCCTTCCATAGGGTGTCATCAGAGTCTATCCTTTGGGATAGGGCCTAGGCCCACTCCCGTGTGTCTTGGCTCAGGGAGTATTCCTCTATGTGGTTTGGGCTCCCAAAGTCCACACCTATGCTAGGGATAAGTACTGAACTACTACAGGAGGCCCCATAGATTTCTGAGGTTTCCTCACTGAAACCCATGTTCCTGGGGTCTGGATCAGTCCCATGCTGGTATCCCAGCTATCAGTCTGGGGAGCAAGGGTTCCCCGATGTTCAGGTCAGCTGTTTCTGTGGGTTTCACTTGTCCTTCTCTGCATCTGGATTCCAGTTCAGCTCAGTGATTAGTTGTTGGTGTCTGCTTCCACCAGCTGCTGGATGAGGGCTACCGGGTGGCATATAAGTCAGTCATCAATCTCATTATCAGGGGAGGGCATTTAAGGTAGCCTCTCCTCTGTTGCTTAGATTATTACCTGGTGTCATCTTTGTAGACATTTCCCTAGTGCCTGATTTCTCTGTAAACCTAAAATGTCTCCCTCTATTATGGTATCTCCATTCTTGTTATCTTCTATTCTTCCCCTGACTCAGCCTTCCTGCTCCCTCATGTCCTCTGCATCCCTCCTCTTCTCCCCTTCTCATTCTCCTAGCTCCCTCCCCCCTCTTCCCATGCTCCCAATTTGCTCAGAAAGCCCCACCTCTTAATAGTGCCACCATTCCTTAAGAGATTGTGGGGGTCAATTACATTCAGACTGCCATATTAGACACTGAACTCAACCTCATTTTTAAATTAAAGAATTCCAAACTATCATACAGTCTCCATTCCCTGATCTGGTTAATAAATATATTTTGGTCCCAATTATAGATGCCCCATATCATGAAACAAAGCAGACATTAACCTTCACCTTTATTGAGACTAAGAGTGTATTAATTGATGGGGAATGTCCTTTTGTATTCTGTGAATATATGTTTCTCTTATTGGCTGATGAATAAAGCTATTTCAGCCAGTGGACAGGCAGAATGTAGCCTGTGGGGCAACCAGACCAGGAGAAGGTTAGGAAGAGGAATGAAGAGAGTGAGTCACCAGGGAAATGCCATGTAGCTGCCAAGGAAGCAAGCTGTCTGGGTATCACTGGTAAGCCAAGACCACATGGAGATATACAGATTAATAGAAACCAGTTAATAATTATGAAAGAGCTAGCCTGAGCCATCAGTCAAATAGTATATAATTAATATAAGCCTCTGTGTTTATTTGGGACTAAATGGCAGTGGGACTAGATGGGACAGAAACGTCTGTCCACAGTTAATAGCTCAGTTGGTGGTAGAGTTGGATCCAGAACTCCAGCACTGCAAAAGACCAAGCTTAGTGGCTCTCACCTGCAATCCCAGCACTCTGGAGGTGCAGGCAAAAGGGTCAGAAGTGAAGGTCATCCTCAGCCACACAGCCAGTTAGAGACAGCCTGTGCTAATTGAGATCCTGAAGAAAGTGGGTAGGAGTGAGCAAGAAGAAACTGAAGGTGGTGGGTGTTGGCGCACACCTTTAATCCCAGCACTCGGGAGGCAGAGGCAGGCAGATCTCTGAGTTTGAGGCCAGAGTGGTCTACAGAGTGAGTTCCAGGACAGCCGGGGCTGTTACACAGAGAAACCCTGTCTTGAAAAATGAACTAGAAAAAGAAACTCCCTATA